GCTTCACTAACCTGTAATTTGGGAGGTGCTGGAAAGAAAAAACGTGATGTGTGATGTTAAAAACCTTATCTTAATCATCTGATTGTCAGCTTTGGGAGAGCAAAGTCAAACATACTGTAGCACAGGGTTAGTCTGTCACACTGTTTACAAGGTGTTTGTAACGTTTAGCAAAAGCAATACTGATGCTATTAGGTTTTCATTAAAATCAATTCGGCCTTGAGCTGAAACTGAACACTGGGGGATAAAACTGCATCATCAGTTTGTTTTGCAAATTATTTTTAAAATTATGTAAAATAAAGTTGCAAAAACCTGTGGTGCTTTGTCAAATTCTTCTGTATTTAGATTCACACAGATTCATTTTCTGTTGACTGTTGAGTTTAATGCTGGTCACATACGCTGAACATGACTCTGTATTCACAGGTGAAAGGGAAATTTAAAAACCAGAGACTTGTATGTTTAATGATGATTCATAATATATGTTTTTTTCATATCAGATGTTAATATTTGCTGTATGTGTGACGATGTTTGTGTTTCACTGGGTACACACAGACGTTACAATCATTATAGGAAGATTATTACATACGAGAACATATTTGTTAATTGACTGTTAGTCACTTTCCAGCTGAATAAAATCTACAGCAGCCAAGAGAGGCCGTCATACTCCAACATATGAAACAATTAGATTAAGTTTCCATAATTTGTAAACAAAAACACAAACTCACACAGATCACACAAATGCAGTCGGAAATATTTTCCAGGGACGCAAAAAGAACCTGTGAGGAATTTTTTTAATACAGACATTTAATTTACTTTAAAATCAGTGAAGTTCTCATGTTTTAGCACACAAAGGGACTCACCCTGAACAGAAGGTCATACTGGTGTCTACATATTTGTCTTTAGGGACGGAGGGGGACAGGGGCTTTAAATGTAACAAGCTTTAAGGCTGGAAGAGCAATCGATAAATGCAGTACATTAACGTTTATCATTCAGAGACGCGTCTCTGCAGTGGGAACAAAAGCAAATTTAACCCGTTTCAACACAAATTTCCACTCCGTCTATGATCAGACTCAAAGTGTGATTGGCATGCGGACTGATCAATGCCTGCCTATCCGGTCGTTAAGTGATGACGTGAAGAATCCTACTTCCAGGCCTAAAGTAGCTGCGTTTAATATGCCTTTTGTGTTGTTAACATGTTTAATGTTTTGTATTTTCTTCTATTTAATCTCAAAAAGCTCCTAAAACAGTCAGTGATCACTGTTGACCTCCCTCGGCTTTTATTACCGCTAATCATTTATTTAAGCTCAGTTTTTAAAACCTTAGGATGTAGCTACAGCCCAGCCCATGCAGCAGTATATGAATGACTAACCTCGTATTGTGGATGGATTATCTCAGTTGTTCTCCTGGATGAAGTTTGATCCTTTTACAGCATCCTGCCATGCGATTACATTTGTTCCTGACCACCGAGAACACTCACGTTAACTTTTATCGAGCGGAAAAAAAGTTAGCTTGTTTATATTATGCTAACATAGCTGTTAGCATAATATAAACTAGCTAGCTAGCAGTCACGTAGCACATCATTATATACCAGCTAGCCAAACTTCAGTAACCCTACAAACGTCACTGCTGTTTAGTTTTCTGTCTTCATTTATGTTGGAAGTGATAACAGAGCTGTACGTTTGAATTTGTTTCCAAAACCCCGCAGTCAGGACATGCTATATTGTATTTAGATAGAAGCTAGCGAGCTAACTTCCTGCTAACTTCTAACTCCGTTAAATGTCATAAATTCCGTTTTCATGGATGCCTGGATGTTAAACTCAATTGTTACACCTGGTAGAGCAGAACGCTGATCATTTTATTAAAGATGAAAGACTTTAGACAGTTTTTCAACTCTCAGTAATGCCATAGTGATCGTTTATATATGGACCTGCAGCGGAGTTTAGGCCCAGACACGGCTAGTGACATCAGACTGAACGACCGGATTGTCAGTAATCAGTAACTGCCTGTTCAGCGTGGCCCAACTAAGAACTGATACGAGGTCGGTGAGTCCTGCAGGTGTGTGAATATTAGAAATGTATGAATGGGTGAAGAGTGCAGGCTGAGACTGTATAAGTATCACCACCCTCATCTACCACAGTATCCTGTTTGGCAGGCTTGCATTGATATTTTAACGTCATCACTGGGACAATTGCCCTGCTTTTTCTTCCTAGTGAAACATGAAAAGAGACTAAT